ACCCCCAACCCCTAAACCCTTAAACCTTAAACCCTAAACCCTCAACCCTAGACCCTAAACCCTGAGGTTTTCGGGATTCAGGACACGGCCCGCTGAGAGGTAAAACTCTCGAAGCTGGAGATGCCGGAGATGATGCCGGGAACTACCCATAGGCCCTAAAGTAGTTCCTTTTGGGGGCTCATATTTAGAATCCTATAAGGTAATCCCGAAAAGGAACTACTATGGGGCCTATGGGTAGTTCGGGTTGCGCCGTAGGTTGTTTTAGGCTTTCGCGCTGAGGAGCTTGGGACTTAGGATTCGAGGCTTTGGGGGGCTAGGGGTACAGGGTTTAGGGCTTGAGGTTTAAAGTTTAGGGTGTCAAGGGTTTAGGGTTTAGGGTCTAGGATTTATAAGGTTTAGGCTTTCAGGCTCGACTTCTTCACCCCAGCTCCCTCAACTCAGAGGTTTCAACTTGGGTACACGGTGGCGCTCTTCAGCACGCGCCCGTCGTAGTTGATGGACTCCTGGGCTCTGAAGTAACCAGGGAGAAAAAAGCATAGACTGTTATTTCATAATGGTTCCTTTAAGGAACAAGTCTAAACCCTGAACCCCAACAGGAAGTCCTAAAGCATGGTACTCCAAAGCCCAGACTCGATGAAGATGCTGGACCCGGAGATGGTCAGGTCGTAGAAGCCATACCTGGGCGGGTTTAGGGTTTAGGGTTTAGGGCTGAGGATTTAGGGCTCGGGGGTTGAGAGCTTAGGGTTCGGGGTTTAGGGATTTAGCGACTTAGGGCCTAGGGATTCAGGGCTCAGGGTTTGAGAGCTTAAGGTTCGGGGGTTCGGGATTTAGGGTTTAGGGCTTTGGGGTTTAGGGCTTTAGGGCAAAAGGGTTTAGGGTTTAGGGCTTAGGGGTTTAGGGTTTAGGGCTGAGGGTTCGAAGATGGGGTGTCACGGTTGAGGGTGTAAGTATCAGGTTGAGGGTCTAGGGTTCCAGAGCAAAGGCGAGGAAACCAGTTTGCAAGATAATGAACCTTCCAAACACAGCTATAAAACCCATCACCAAGTTCATGGATGACTGTGCCGTGGCTGTTTCGGATGGTCACCTACTAGGCGATACCTGTAACCGGGCGGCTAAGCAAAAGCACAGTGGCAGGTAAGTTCAGGAGAACCTTAAACCCTGAACCCTAAACAAACAGGCCCTCTGAACTCCCAAATCCTACACCGAAATGCCCCACAACTGGGTCCCCAGTTTAGGGTTTAGGGTTTAGGGTTTAGGTCTACTGCTATATGGGTAAATGGAGCCTGGGGGGGAAGCCTGGTGCGACAACGTTGGGGTAAGGCGGGGACAAAAAGGGATCACATAAACGCACGCATAACCAGAGCCAGAAGCCTTTACCTTAATGTAGGAGCCTTAAACTTTAGAATAGGGTGTTGGGGGGTTCCTTATCAGAATTATGGTATAATTATACCACAAACCCTAGTCTAATTATTAAGGAAGGCCCCCATATTAGACCTTAGATCCTCAAACCGAGAGCCAAAGCATCAAAGCGGAAACCCTAGACGGCAAGCACCTGAAATGCCTGAGCCCTCAGCTCCCCTGCACCCTAAACCCTAAAGGCCCTAAACCCTAAAGGCCCTAAACCCTAAACCCTGAACCCTGAACCCTAAACCCTAAAGGCCTTAAACCCTAAACCCTAACACCCTAAACCCTGAACCTTAGACCCTATATAAACAAAAAACCTATGGCCTGAACCCTAAGCTGACTCGGGAAGGCTGCTGGCCCTCTCCGTACCACTGCGACTTGTCCCAGGGCGAGGCTTCAGATGTGATGCCGCCGCCACCACCGGTAACGATGCCTGAGTTTTGAGAGGTTTCGTGTTTTTTTTTTGGGGGGGGCGGGGGGGGCCTTTCCGTTTGCATGTAGTCCCAGGGCTACACTCTCAAGAATCCGTCTGGTACGGAGGGCGATAGGATAGCCACTTTGGCCATCATAGGGCAACCATCAACCTTACCCGGTTTAGGGTTTAGGCGTCTGCTTCAGTTTAGTAAGGGACCTATGAGGGTTCTGCAAGGGCTTTTATAAAGGCTACTACCCCAGTTCCCTACAGAGTTTCTGTCTGGAGTTTAGGGGTCTAGTCACGCGTTGTTTTCTCAAACAGGTGGAAAAAGAAAACTGTCAAGTCGTTTCTTGCCCCTGGCTGAATACGGGTATGCTGTATGGCATTTGAGTGGCTTTTGAGTGGCTTTGGACTTTTTGAATGACAGCCTCTGAGAAGTCGGCGAAAGCATGTACTGAATACTCCGATTACTGCTGCAATTGCGACCATCATCATTACCATCAACTCCCACTGCTGCTAGTGGTAGCCATAGTTTCGGCAGGTCCATGAATCTTTAAGCTCCACGCCAAACCGCGAACCCTGCAAGGCATTAAACCCTAAGCCCTAAATCCTAAACCCTTAAATCCTAAACCCTTAAACCCTAAACCCTTAAACCCTAAACCCTTAAACCCCCAAAACCTTCAACCCTCAAGAGGGCGAAAGGCAGTCTACAACCTCCCAGGCCCCAGCTCCCAACACCCTGAACACCCTGAACCCTAAACCCTCACCCGCAAGACCCACCAAGAGAAGTCTTGCAAAATCCCTGAACCCTAAACCCCCTAAACCTTAAACCCTGAAACCCCTAAACACTAAACCCCTGAACCGTAAAACCCTAAACCCAAACCCCTAAACCCCTAAACCCCTAAACCCCTAAACCCCTAAACCCCTAAACCCTCAAACCCTCAAACCCTAAACCCTAAACCCTAAACCCTAAACCCTAAACCCTAAACCCTAAAGCCCTCAAACCCTCAAACCCTAAACCCTGAAACCCCCGGGGGGCCCCAGACCCGAAGCCCAAAGCCCTGCCCCCAACCAAAACTCCTGCGAGGAACCCTTATCAGGGCTTAGGGTTTAAGGGTTTAGGGGGCTTCGAGGTTTAGGGGTTTAGGGGTTTAGAGGTTTAGGAGTTTAGGGGTTTTGGGGCTTTCCAAGGCCCAAAATTGTTGTCTAAACCCTAAACCCTAAACCCTAAACCCTAAATCCTAAACCCTAAACCCTAAACCCTAAGCCCTTTTCTCAGAACCTCAGCGCGCTTTCCAAGGCCCAAGATTCTTGTCCAATGGCCAAAATTGCCAAAATTTGCTTTGAAAAAAGACCCAACATAAAAAAACGAAGGAAGCAGCCAAGAAGCCCTAGACCCCCCTAAACCCTAAACCCCTAAACCCCAAAACCCCGCAGAGGAAAAACGAAGGAAGCAGCCAAGAAGCACATCATGCCGCCCAGGGCTCCCCAGTTAGAGCCGAGCTCCTGGAATGGCTTTAGGCTTTAGTTTAGCGGCGTTATTACGATTATGGTTATGATGATGATTATGATTATGATGATTATTCTTATTACTCATATTTGTATTATTATTATCATTATTGCTGTTATTTATTATGTTGTTATTTTTTCTTTTGGGGGGGGGGTTAGGGTTTATGGTTTAGTAGTGTTTGGGGGTGTAGGGTTTAGGGTTCAGAGTTTCGGGTTTAGGCTTGACCATTGGGTGACACCGTTGAGGATTTTGGACAAAAAACGCAACACCTCGACACCCCAAACCCTAAACCCTAAACCCTAAAACCCCAAACTCCAAACCATAGCCTCCCAAATCAACAGCGCAAACCCTGAATCAAGCCCCCCGCCCGAAAAGACTGCCACCCCAGACCACACCCAGACCTGCAGCGTAGTCCTAACACACAGGTTTGGGTTTAGGGTTTAGGATTTAGGGTTTCGGGTTTAGGGTTTAGGGTTTGGGGGCATATTCGAATATACTTATGCAATGATACAGGAACCTTATACGACCACTTCTTACGAGCCTTACGAAGACTCTCGTGAGACTGTTTGAAACCTATAAATTCTTGTAAAGCCCTGTTCGAACCCGTAGTACACCCAGATGCCGGTGAATAATTCCGAAAACCTCCTAAACTGGACCTTTTCCCTCATTGCTCGGCGGCTATGTTGTAGGACTACAAGGGCTAGGCACCTGTATATCGGTTTATAGGGTGCTACAAAGCTTCTATATAAGGATTTGGGGAAGCATTCTGCAACAGCCTTACACGGGCTCCATAAAGGTTCTACGAGGGCTCTTTCAGGCTCTATACGGAAGGGCCCTTGGGCTTTGGGTTACAGGCTGTCGTCCCCCTAGGCAGAATCTGCAACAACCAAAAGCTATGTTGGAGGACTTGTGCATGTGCAGCTTCAGATTACGGGCTCATGATTTCAGAGTTTAGACGGTTAAGGATTGTTTAGGTTTAGGCCTCAGGATATAATTGGACACCCCTACATATCCCTAAAATGTAAAGTTCTCGGGAGTCCTGGTCGTGGCGATGGCCCGTCACCAGCAGGTCCAAACCATACGAGGTGTGCAGGCTGCGATACCACCTGAAATGAACCCAAAACCCTAAGGGCCCGACACCCCACACCCTAAGCCCCAAACCCCTAAACTGCTAAATCTCTAAACCCCTAAAGCCCTAGACCCCCAAACCCCTAAACCCGAAACTCTAAACTCTAAACCCTAAATTTAAACCCCTAAACCCCTCAACCCCTGAACCCCTGAACCCTTTACTGAGTTCGAGACCTTGGGTTGGGGAGGGCGGGGGGTCATGGCTTCAGGGCTGGAGTCGCGATTGGGGTCCCACGACAGTAAGGGTTTAGGGTTCAGGGTTTAGGGCGCAGGGTTCAGGGTTCAGGGCTTAGGGTTCAGGGTTCAGGGATGCGGTTTAGGGTTTAGCCCTACACCCCAGACACTTGACCCTCAAACCCTAAACCCGAAACTCCTGACAAGAACCCTCAGACCCTTAAACCTTAACTCTGCCAAGAGAAGTCAAGCAATCTCCTTCTGGCCTCTGGGATTGTGGTCTTCGTCTAGCAGTCTAGCAGTTGCTATTTGCCCCTATCACATTTAAGTATCGTAGAATATATGCCAACAACCTTAAGCTAATCCGTAAGGCCCCTGCGTTACCCCTAAACCCTAACCCTAAACCCTAAACCCCCCACTAAAACCGCAAAAGAAAGGGCAAGACGAGAGCGTCTACCCCCTCCACCGCAGCAAGAAGTTGAAGGCCCGGGCATCGATTTCATTTTGGGTGCCAGGGTGGGGAGTTTAAAAGGGTTTAGAGTTTAGGGTTGAGTTTAAACTTATGAGCTGTAATAATATATTAAGTTAGCGGATGCCATGTCCAGTTTCTAACGATGCACCACCCCTTAGCCCCCAAATCGTAACAACCTATACCTCAATCCTCAACTCACCAAAAGACCTATAGCAATATCCCTAGAACGGAACCATAGGAAGCCCCATATGAATACCCGCATAGAAAAATAGCGTAGTCAACTCCATACACCAATAACCCCATAGGAAAACTATATCCCCCAACCCGAAACCCCAAACCTGAGAAAATGGAAATGGTATTCTCTAATAATTTATCTGTCATAGGGATAAGGCTTGGTAATGAGGTAGGAAAAGAAGAAAGAAGGATATTACTATTTCAACAAAATCTTATGATTGGTTTATTATTTAGGATTAATTAGATCGCCGTATTATTTCTCAATATCCTGGATACTTCGGTTAATCCACTTAACAGCATTCTTTGGCTTTCCATCTAAATAGTTAGTGTCTTTGCTTCTTCCACTGTTACAAAGTACTTCAATATGTTCAATTCAGTCCGAATTTTTTATCTGCATATCATCCTTTTACGTTCCTGAATTTTACCTTCTAAAAGAGATATACAGCATCTACCATTCAAGACATTTTCATTATCAAAAACGCTTTCATAAACCTTGGCTAACTTTCTTAACTCCTTCATTTTGTTGAGGTGGTCCATGTCATTTAGTTTAATTTCAAACGTTTTCGTGATATACTTCACTGGCATTTTATATGCATGTACATTTGCATAATCCATTTCCCGCAGAATATATCTAGCTGCTATTTCTTTAAGTGTTTTCTCTAGAAATTCTTTTCTTGTGACCTATCAACCGGAATTTCAATGATCATCCGACCCTTGTGCTTGCCGAATAGCATAAAATAGAATCTTCCAAAAGCTCATCATTCATTAGCAACTGGTGGACATGATTAAACACGTTATCAATATCGGGCTTTGGTTTCTCAGGCTGCGGCTCGTCATCTGAGGGAATTGTTCGTTTAATCGCTTGCGTATTTCCCTTTTCTGCTTCTCGTGTTCTGCCTTAATATCTGGCCGCGTTTCATCGCTTAGTTTGCCCTCTTTCCTTAAACTACCTGATTTCCTGAAATAACCTTTCATCAATACGTTTAGTTCCGAATTCAGATGTAATGCATAGTGGAAATGGGCATCCCAGCTTTCGTTGTTTCCTGTATGTCCGCATTCTTCGCATAATTGGCTCCCCTTTGCCTTTTCTTCTCTTCTTACGTGAGCATATTCTTTCTCATTTGTTTTGTAGCATTGTCGTTTCGAATCTCGGCATTTATTACATGTCTTAAAACCGTCGAACTCTTCAATATCCTTTGCTGCACAACACGATTTACATACTTTTTGATCCATCTTACTATACTAACAGGTCTAACCTTTATACATGGTTAGACTGGTAAAAACCAAATTAGTGTCTTTATAATTTGCTTGTTAAAGCATTTCCTACAGTATTCATTGTGGTTTTCGCGTAAGGGTCTGGGGTTGGGTCTATGATATGGCCTAGGGTGGGTCGCGCGGTGAGAAAATGGAAATGGTAGTTGCTAACTTATTATATTACATACTATAATCATTCATAACTTCATCAGAAATCCACAGTATCCTGAATCGACATGGAGGGTCCCCCTGCGGGAAAACCGAATGCATCTTATCCAGACGCAACGGCCTCGTTGTCGCAGCAGCGGTTCCTAATCCCCCGTATACATCCTACCAGTAGCCTTCAGTTCCAGCTTTCCCAAACAAATCCCCAACTTCTGGCTCGAACTGGCTGCCACGCTGCCCGGAGTCGTGGCCGCAAGGGAAGTGTGTGACCTGGAGTAAGTCACAAGGATCGCCCACTGTCTGGCTTAAGTTTAGGGTTTAGAGCCGTTTGAGGCTTAGGGCTTAGGGTCAAAATCGTAGCTGGTGTGGACACCAAGCAGTAGCCTCTGTGGGGTTGAAAGGTTCATCGGACTTCGGGTGTTCGGGATTGGGGGATCTCTTGCAGTCCCCCCTTGAGTCATATGAGGTGTTCGTTTAGGGTTTAGGGTTTAGGGGTTTCTGTCACTGGTAAGAGCTATCATCAACAGCGAACTTGCGAAAACAGCGAGAACGAGGACTACACCTCTTCACCCACATGACGACGTCGACGACGACAGCAGTGACAGTGGGCCAGAGGAAGCAAAGGACTACGAACACGAAACAGACTTATACGTGTGCTCGATTATACGCCAACAATTGAAGCACCGATGGTGGTAGGAATGACGATATCTCATAGAAGCCTTTGCTTGATCTTGTGACCATCATCAACACCCATATCACACATGATGCCATTGATAAAGACAACAGAGCGCAGGGATAGCAGCCTCGCACGTGTGAGGAAGTGGCTTACTACCAAAGGCTCCTTTGTAGAACTTCCGCACTGGGATTTAGGATTTAGGGGCCTTCCGATGCTGTGCTGGTAGAGATGGTGGTGGTGGTGACCAGCAGAGGTGCTGCGGGCGGCGGAAGAAGTCGCGGCAATAAATGAGACAGCGGGGTGGAAGTAAAGAAAACTCTGGATGTGAGCAGAAGATGAGAAAATGCCATTATTATCATCATTATCATTTTTAGTATTACCGATATTATTACTACATTACCATTATTAGTATCATTATGAACTCTGGGTCGTTTTTGTCATTATTGTTATTAACATTATGACTATCATTACTATAATGACGCAATGGTTCCTTAACCTGCTTTTGGAGCCGTCTGTCTCACACCTAGTCGCCCATTTACCTTGCGGAAGAAGACCCCATTTTAATTCCCGCGGGTTCCTGATTATACTTAAACCCTAAACCCTAAACCCTAAACCCTAAACCCTAAACCCAAACCCCTAGTCAAACGATCAAGGCCGGATATTATCCCAGGAGCCCGAGCCCTTCCACAGTGCAGCCGGGGTACCATGATCTGCCAAGTGGCCTTTGAGCCCCTCAGCTTGCCTTCCTGATGTGGTCGAGGGTTTGGGATTTAGGGTGTAGGGTTTGGGGCTTGGGGTTTAGGGTTTGGGGTTTGGGGTTTAGGGTTGGGGTATAAGGTTTGGGACTTAGGGTTGAGGGTTTGGGATTTAGGGTGCAGGGTTTGGGGTTGGGATTCATGGTTTAGGGTTCAGGGTTTAGGGTTTGTGATTTAGGGTTTAGGGTTTGGGATTTAGGGTGTAGGGTCTGGGATTTAGCAACGGTCTAGAGATTCGGGTTGGTTAAACGCCTCGGGTGAGGGGCGCACCATGGTCTGGAGTTTGCATTCTGAGGCTTAATCAGGGCTTCCTCACGTGCAAAACAGCTTCTACACAATACGTGAAGTGCAAAAGCTGCAACACATGCCTGGTGCACAGTATTCTCGTATTAAACTGACCCTGTGTAGAAGTAGACGCAAACGCCTTCTCACAAATGTCACTCAGAAGATAACATTCAGAATGGAAATCGCCGTGCAGTGTAGAGGCTGTCTGTATTCGCTACATATCACATCCACTCTGCAGGATCCGTTATAGAGATATACCGCAACAGATGCCAATGCATAGCCACGTATGCCGTATCACACAAACTCTGCTCTGCATAGCCCCTCGTAGCATGTAATACAGATACACGTGTAGAGACCATGCGAGGGCCACATGTATCTATCTTAATTCGGTAACTTCATGATGTGCCTTGTAGAAAAAAGAGCGTGTGCAAAGCAAGAGCGCCAGTCAAAACATGCACTGTAAAAACACATGTCACACGTGCATGTACTGTGTATATGGTATTTCGTGAGCAATCTATGTAGTGTTCACACACATATCGCATGGCACATGTAGTCGGTTGTAGCTTTCACTTCATAGACGGTCTGCATACGTGTATATATATATATATATATATACATGCATGCATCTCTCTCTCTATATACATATATATATACATGTACTACATACATATACTACATATATGTTTGTATGTACGTATGTATGTATGTATGCATGCATGCATGTATGTATGTATGTATGTATGTATGTATGTATAACAGTATATACACTGACTTATTCTTCATTTACACGCTTATAAACTTTTACATACATGCCCACATACCTGCACGCATGGAAGCAGCCTATAGCGTATCCTCGCAATTCATACCCGGCATCGCCGTCAACATCACCTCTCATCATCATTGTGCTTGCCAGTATCCTGAATCAAGACCATTGTCATTCGCTTTATCGCGATAGCTGTTACTCTGCTGGCGACATGCAGCCAAAAGCCTAAACTTTCAGCGTTCCTAACCCCTTAACCATAAATTATAAGATCTAAAACCTAAACCTCAAACAACCCTGAACCTTCAACAACCCTAGAAACCCCCCTAAACCGTAAACCCCCAAGCCCTAAAC